TAAATAATCTTTAAACCATATTCAGGATAAAACCATGTTAATATAATATGGACCTGGACCTTGATTTTAGTAAACACTTTGTGTCAGCTTAAAAGGTGGCATTTTCCGGATAAATCAGACCGATCCGCCCCTCTAAACATTATATTCACAAACACTCACGTGTCCTTAAAGCAGATGCGCTAAGTCACATTGTACATAGAGAGATTTTCGTTACAATTAACTCATTGCATTACATATTACATGTTGATTCTTATAATAATAATTAAGAACAAAATTATCAACTGGTTTAAGGGTGTTGCATTAAGTTTCATGTTCAGAATATTCACCTAGATTACCTATCTTAGAAGGTTAGTGATTGGGTGAAATACTGATAATGTCCATGGTAAATTAAACTTTCTTGTGGTAGAAGCAGGTAAATACATGGTTAAGTATTATTTAGATCGTACTCATTGTTTGGATTATATCTTCATACTGACTCAGGATACTTGGTAGGAACAAACTTGTTTTTCTCTGCAGTAAATTTATAAGGACCTTGCACAGTCTGCAAACAATCAGTATTACAGGCGTTACAAATACCGGATTTCTGGACAAACTCATATGAAATCTCCGTTGTGTTTTTTTTTAACTTTGCATAATTTGATACTGTGTTGGCGCTTGAGAGAACCGTAAAATAGGATTTTCATTTTGATCAAATATACTCGTGAAAGAAAGAAATAATGCATAATGTGTTAGATGTTAAAATAAAGATGTTGAAATAGATCCTCATGGTATGATATTCCCATCCGATTCTTTTCCAGATATAACTAAATATTAAGGTAAAAAGGACATTTTTATTGGCTATTTAAATTCAAAAAATCATACATATGAAACTGACATTTTGCTGAAGACTTCAGTGTTCAGTTCTACTTTTAAAAAAGATTTGAGTTCTTTAATTGACAAATTGAGGGTGAAATTTTGTTTTGTGATTTGTGAATTTTTTTAAACTCTTTTTTTTTTTTTTAAGGATGACGCTACCTAGGCAAACCAGACTGCCCTAAGAGAAGTTTACACCAGGGCAATTTTTAAAAAGAATTCCAATCTTTACTAAGCTTATGATTTGCGAAAATTTATCATACTCTTGGCACAGTTTTATTTTGTTTCTGCTATAATTCTTTAAAAGCAATTTTCATTGCAATAAAATATATCAAGTAAAGCAGTAAAAAAAAAATATATAAATTAAGTTAACAAAATATTTATAATTCGTTATTCAAACAACTACATAAATATCAATACTAGGTAACGATACCATAAAACAAGTACTTGCAATAAGTGAAAAAAGTTACGCGTCGAAAATGTTTTTTTTACAAAGTTCACAGTGCAAACCCCACACCCTTTTCCTTAGACTATGTTGGTTTCCTATTGTTTTCTTTTTGGGGAAACATTACATTAAACATACACTAGACTATTTTCTAATGAAAAAAGTAATCATTAATAATATTTAAAAAAAAACTTTGTTATTGCTGTTATTCGTCTCGAATGTTGCTGGAATGTCTTAAACGATGAACGAACAATTTTACACCTTACATTTATATCTTGATTAATAGTCTTTTGATGTTATAGGTTATGGCGGCTTCGAGTGGTACAATTTGTGGCGTATGTGATTCTCAGCACTTAACGACAGACGCCATCTTCTGGTGTCCTGAATGTGACGAAGGTTTGTGTTTAGCATGCTCAAAATATCATAATGCTTCCAATTTATCGAAAAATCACGAGGTCATCTCTGTCGACAACTACAGGCAGCTTCCTTCATTTGTGTCCAGTGTCCAACAACACTGTTCCGACCACGACAAAAAATACCAGCTTTACTGTTTACAACACAAAATTCCATGTTGCCTTCATTGTGTTTCAACCATGCATAAGAAATGCGACTTAACGGCACTCGGGGAGATTTGATAGTGATGTTTACCCAACTTCTGTATGATCAACAGAGGCTGGTCCCGGTTTTCGGAATGGGGGCGTTATTCCATAAAATGGAAGAAAAAAAATGTGGACGATTTTATGGTAAAAAATTATATTTTCTCCGATCACTGATCTAAATCAGTTTAAATTTTGCTTACGTTTTCGGGTTTTCACATGATTTTAGCTAAAGCACATGATGAGACATATTGTTAACCTATATATGTGCAATAAGTGCATCATATCATCATGCAATGACTTTTTGTCGTCTGTAGATACACGTATAAAGAACGATCTACAAGTACAGTATGTGTTATTCCAAAATGAAATGACCATGATAACAGAAATTAAGAATAAACTTAAGACATTATCTTATTGTACATATTTTTTGGCTTTTTTTCAGTGTATATATTTACTAGCAATGGACTTCTGATCTTCATTTTTTGGACAAACTAATGTCATTTCCACTTTATATATGATATAAATGCATGAACAATCTAATGGCTACAACTGGCATTTTTGCATTTAAAATGATTCACTGCATCATGAATATTTGTTTTGAATGGAATTTTTGTGGATCGAAATCTTCTATTGCCGATAAAATCTTAAATTTGTCTTAAATCATATATCATCTCCAATCCCCAATGCATAGATTTAAAAAAAATTATGTGTTGTTGACACATACATTTCCGTTTGATTGATATAAAAGAATAATAGGGTAACCGACTTTGTTGTTGGTGTAATCATTAATCTGTTACCTAGTTGGTAGTGAAAAACGTCAAACATCGACGTTTTACGGCTTTTAAAAAACGCGGTGACGTTATCTATTATTTTGCATAAAATTAAGAATGGAAATGCAGACATAACTATCAGGTACGACTTTTTTTTATATGTTTCTGGGATCCGCCTTTTCAAAAACGTTTTCAGGGTAAAATTATTATCCGACGTAACCAAAATTCATCATAATCATTTGCATTTACTTATTTTAAAACTTTTCCAAGCTTAATAACTTTCACCACTTACCCCCTCCCTCCTCAAACAATATTGTTGCGTCCATTTAGTAAGCAGTAATGTGTTACAAAGAATTTCTTTTTCTTTATAATTTCTTTTGTTTCCTTCTTCATGGATTGACAAGCATTTACATATATTCATCTATAGTGGCACATAATTAAGAATACAAAGCATTTCTATTATAGCTGCGTAGGACTTAACAGGGATTAATTGAAATTCATTCGATTGAATAAGAAAAAAGTATCTAGAGTATCGCACGAAATTGTCAGAGAAACGATGTCCAGGATGCTAAGGCTGGCCGTAATCTATCAGTTAAAACTTTGTGGTAAACCCATTGTTTGTAGTTTGTGTATAAGAAAAATGTATTCCGTGCTTACGGAAATATCTTTTTCGATACTATATCACCTCCACATTAAAATTCATGTTTATTGTATAGTCATATTTTTATTTTTAAGCTAAAAAATTGTTGATGCAAAACATTTCGCATTTTGAATTTTCGAGTCATATATTTGATCTACATTAGACAAACAGATTTGAAGGATAAATATAAAAAAGAAGATGTGGTATAATTGCTAATTGCTTAACTATCCATCAGAGACCAAAAGTTTTTTTCTTTCTTAATAATCAGAAGCATAGGGTGCCTTTCTATCAATAATAATAATACGGGATAGCCCTAGGGGAGGTTTCAGCGCTTGCAAACATATTTAGTCCCCCCCCTCACGCACACATAATGTATCATCCTGTCCAAAGTCAAAAACCTATAATTCAGTAACTCTTCTGTGTAACTGTCTTTCATATTTGTTTTTATTTATTGTATTGTTCATTATATCAGGCCGTTATTTTTCTCGTTTGAAATTTGTTACATTTTGTCATGTCGGGGCCATTTTATAGCTCACTATGCGGTATTCTAGTCATTATTGAAGGCCAAACGGCAACTTATAGTTGTTTACACCTACGCCGTTTGGTCTCTTGTGGATAGTTGTCTCAATGGCAGTCCTATTAAATATTTTTTTTAGTAAAGTATATGATATTTTGCACCATACTTTAATAATCTTGAATATAAGCCACTATAGACTAAAAAAAGAGTACATAACCAGGACATAGGTGCAGAGAAATAAGACATTTTTTTTTCTCATCACCCGCACATTAACATAATAACATCGTTGTACATCACCTCGGGAGGTACGTATACGGAAAATAAGATACACTATTTATTGCTGTTCTGATATCATGTAAACATATCCACCAGCAAATACTCAGAACCCTCCAGCACCGATAAGGACCAAATCACCAGCACATAAAATTCTCTCCAAGGACAACCTTACCAACCGAGGTTTGTGTATTATTGAAATACTTAAACATGTCGTGGTCTGGAGGAGTATTGTTTGAATTTATGCCTGTTGAAATGTAATTGTTGGCTTCAAATACTTGTTCCTATCTGTTGAATTTCTATCTTACTCAGGCTCCGGTTGATATATAAAGGGCGGTTATTTATACTAATGTGTATTGTTTGGTTGTCATGTAATCGACATCAGTTTGAAACACCCGCTTTTATTTTTTATTCATATGACAAAAGAGGTTTCAAAATGTGACTAATATTATACATACTATAGAGCATAAAATTTATATTTTTTACAGTGCTTCTTATTAGTAAAAGACTTGCTTCGTTAAAGTGGCTTGTTTTTACTTGTTGATTGTATGGGAATTATACTTGAAATTCAATGCTGCTATTTTCACATATTGAAAATGAATAACAGTAGGTTATAATTCTTTTTAGATTTTTTACTGTATTTTTGATATCACTGTTATACAAATAGAAGAAGAAATATGGTACACGGCAATGAAAACAACAAACCTACAACACAATGATACAAGAAAAGACATCTAGAGAACGATGGGGATGAAACGGTAAGTTTTCAAAAACGCCCATTGGACGATGTTTCAGTCATATTCAAAACGATATCATCAGAATGTGATATACTGAACTTATTGTTTATACTATGTCGACAAGCTTTGGCGGATTTTAAATGTCGCATTATATCAGATGTTCAGTATATCAACCTAGATTTTCTTATCGTAGAAGGTCAGCGATTGGGTCAAACATACTGATAATGTCTATAGTTCTTTTAACTTCCTTGTGGTAGAAACAGGTAAATGCATGCATTGTTTACATTTATACTGTTGTTTCTCTATATTCTTCCTTTATATTCTAGTTTTATACTGACTCAGGATACTCGGTTAGAAAATGTGGACCTTTTTCACTTCAGAAAACCATTCACAGTCTGCAAACAATTAATATTGCAGGCCTTTATGTTACAAACATCTCGGCATCGTGAGATATACTCATTTGTAACATCAGCAATTTGATTCTGGTTGCAATATATTCAATACTGTGGTGGTATTTGAGAAATTTGTTAGAGATATATACAATTCAATTTGCATAATCAAATAAACTCTTTAACTAGAGAAACAACGTACACAGTTGTAGCAATAAAGATTTTAAAACGTACCCAACCGGTCTAATTTCCCGTCTGCTGTTCTTTTCTAGAAACTCGAAATTATACGTTGAAGGCACACTTTCTTCTCGAAATTAAAAATTTATTAATGGTATAAATGTTTAAAAGGTAAACTAAATATTAAGTTAAAACACAAGATTTTACTTTTTAGAAAACACACCGAGGGATAAAATATGTCAGGCGATTATTGGATTGTTTTCCAACTCCTCTGTTAAAAGATGGCGTTACCCAATCACTTTCAACGTGGTATGGCCATTTTCCTGCTTTTTCCACACCAGGATCATTTTCAAAAATTATTGTGTGTACGTACTTCGAGGTTCTAACAATATAATGTCTTATTTCTAACCAGATAATCAAACTATAATTGGCTGGAGATAGTTCAAAACCGACTTATTGATAAGTTTTGGCTGGGTTTTTTTTTGGCATTTTCCCAAAAATTCTAAGTTCATCCTTAATCATTGTTAATAAAAATCTAATATTTTGGAAATAAAAGTGTTTATTTACTTTTGAATACAAAATAATTTTGGTTAGGGACATCTTTTGAGGTAAATTATGCAAAAAAATATTTATGAATATTTGCAATTTTGCATCAAAAGGACTTCAGCAGCACCATGTAACGCATAATAATACTTTGAATATACTAAAATATGTAAAATAGTTGTGAAATAATGAAATATATGATATAGACTCTTTAAATTAAAATATCAGTACGTATTGAAATCTTTAAGGTTTATCCCTGTGAGTGAAACACATACAGGGGAAATTGTCCCTACCTCTTCTTGGCTACTTATTGTAAATGATAATATTAATGGGTACCAATTTTACTGCACCAGATGTGCATTTCGACAATAAATGTCTCTTCAGTGAAGTTCGAGTCCAAAATATTTGAAAAAAAACCTTATACAAATGTTGAAGAGCTGATCATACGTATCATATTATTTCTTCTCAAAAATGTCCCCCTCCTTCAACATATGTCCTGCCGCTATTGATAACTCGATTTCAACTGGAACTGAATTTGGAAATCGAATACAAATGTATTACACTTTAATCAGTAGCCGGTTTTTGGTGAGTTCGTGTTGCATAGTCTTTAGTTTTCCATGTTGTGTTTTGTAAACTGTTGTTTGTCTTTTCTTTTTTTTTTCTTTTTTTTTGCCATGTCGTTGTCAGTTTATTTTCGACTTGGAAGTTTGAATGTCCCTCGGTATCTTACGCCTCTCTTTTATGAACGATACTCGCAATGTCTTTTTGATTTTCTATTTTTTTCTCTTTATTTCACATTACAAAAACAGCGAGTTCAGTGTTACTTTTGATACCCAGTCAATAGATGAGAGAACATAATGAGAAAGATAAGGGTAACTTTAAGAACTCGGTGTACAAAATCCACCGAAGTTATCATGTTAATGATATAAATCAAGTGCTATTGTGAAAAAAAACCCATTATAAAAATCAAGTCTGAAAAATCGGTAATTCAGATATCGGTATTACAGACAACTACATTAATACCATTATCTGGCAACGATAACGATACAGAGAAGACTTGCAATTAATGAAAAAAGTAAAAAGAAATCTATCTATCGATGATGATTTTACCAGCGGTATTTCTGCGCAAATGTCCCCTTTCCTAGATTAGTCACGTTTAATTTGTTCCTATGCTAAAACATTTGAAGGATATACACGAGACAATATTCCTATGAAAAGTTATTAAAGAATTAATATATTACACAACGCTTTTATTGCTGTTACTTATCTCGGCTGTTGCTGGAATGCCTTCATCAATGAACTTAAAAGTTTACACCTTACAGTAAGATCCAGTTTAATTGCTCTTTTTTTTTTTTTTTTTTACAGGTTATGGCATCATCAAATAGTACATTATGTGGTGTATGTGAATGTCAGCACTTGACGACAGAAGCCACATTCTGGTGTCCTGAATGTGATGAAGGTTTGTGTTCGACATGCTTAAAGTATGACAATGCTTCCAAATCGACGAGAAATCATGAGGTCATCTCTGTCGATAACTACAGGCAGCTACCGTCATTTGTAGCCAGCGTACAACAATACTGTTCCGACCACGAAAAAAAGTACCAACTTTACTGTTTACAACACGAAAGTCCATGTTGCCCTCATTGTGTTACAACTACTCACAAGAAATGCAACTTAATGGCACTCGATGAAATTGTTAAAACCTCCAAAACGTCCGCGTCATTTGACAATTTAGAACAAAGTCTGAACGACTTAAAAGAAAATATAAAAAGAATAACAAAAGACAGAGAACACAATTTATCAAAAGTTCAACAGAGAAGAAGGAAAATACATTCTGAAATACAGACGATGCGCGACAAATTAAACAAACATCTAGACAGTATCGAACAAAAGATACTACAGGATTTAGATGATGTTGAAAAGGGAGTAAGCTCAGAGATACAACGTATTCATACTAAGCTTCTCGATTACACAAAACCCATAGAAGAGCTAGAAAGGAATGTTTCAGCCATTAAGAAGTATGCATCTGAACTGCAGATTTTTGTTGGAATGAAGAAGATAGAGACGGATATAGAGCATGCAGAAAAGTTGATGGTGTCATTGCTGGAAGATGGAAGTCTACAACAAGTTGATATCAATTTTAAAGAGGATCACAAAATGTCCGACATATTATCCATTGCAGAATATGGAAAGATATCTCGCATTACCAGTTCCCCTACGGTTACCATGAAAACTGAGAAAAATAAACAAGCCCAATACTTGGTAGCCTCTCCCATCGCAACGAAAACTATTGATGATATTAACCTTTCTTCACATAAAAAGCTTAAAATCCCTGAAGAAAATAAAACAAGTAAGTTTACAGGGTGTACAATCACACCTACAGGTAACATTGTTCTTGTGGACTATAAGTATGGCCATGTATTTATCCTTAACGAAAATGAGTCATTAGAATGTAAGAAAAAAGTAACAAATAAACCTGCAGATGTCAGTTGTATTGATGACCGAACGATTGCAATTTCCTATAACTATTATCCATTTCAAATCGAGATAATAAACATATCGTCTAAGCAAACGGAGAAACTAATCAACACTTCAAGTATGTGTTATGGTATAACAAATGGACAAAGAAAGCTGATATATTGCTTATACGGGAAAGGTATTATGTCAGTAGATTTTACTGGTGACGATGTTTCCACGATAGTCAAACAACCAGAAATGACTGTTTGGAATTATGTAACAGCTTCTGGAGATAAACTTTATCGTACAAATCCTGTAACTGACACCGTCACATGTTACAACACCACAGGAGAGAAGGTTTGGGAATACAACGATAAATCAGTTTTGAAGGATATACGTGGTGTTACTACTGACAAGAACGACAATGTTTACGTTGCATGCAAAGGGAATAGTAGTATTGTGGTTCTGTCATTCGATGGAAAACATGCAAGACGTCTTATAGGGGAAGAGGATGGTTTAAATCAGCCGCATGGTATTTACCTTGACAAAACCAGAAACAACCTGCTTATAGCGTGTTTTAATGGGGACGTTCATATGTATAAGGGGTCGTAAGAAATCTTTCAACTTTGATTTCCAACATTAATCGTATACTTCGAAACCTGCTTGATGATTGCAAACTCTTCTTATGGATATATATACCAAAAGCCCATATTGATAAAACAAATTTGAGAAATTCATTTTAAAATTATAAATCATGCTATTCATGTCTTACTCTATATCAGTAGCCAGTATATAAGAGAAGCAAATTGTTTTTGTCTGAAGACGTATTACTGCCAAGCAACGTGTTTGGTGAATACGCATTTCTTTCATTACATATGATAAATATTTTGTATTACTTTTGCTGGGTCCATACTTCTGCTGGTAGATTGTAGGTCCCCGAGGGTAACTGCAACCCAACTACTCAATCAGGTGGTGCTTGCATGAAAATACTGAATAGTTAATTTACAAGAACTTATGTAGTGAAAGACCTTTGAAATTAGGGATAGACTATTTCATACGTACCTCTTATTCCGTGAATGTGTCAAAGAGACAACAACCCGACCAAAAAGCAGAAAAAAAACCCAAGGCCACCAATGGGTCTTCAACACAGCGAGAAAATACCGCTCCCGGAGGTGGACTTCAGTTGGCCCGGTCAGAGGTTCCTGACTTGTGACAAGCAAAAATGCGGCGGGGTTAAACATGTTTTGTGAGATCTCAACCCTCCCCTATACCTCTAGCCAAAATGAAATAAACAAACACACAGCAATACGCACAGTAAAACTAAGTTAAAAAGAAGTCCGAGTCCGATGTTAGAATAGGTAACACAAGAAACTAAGGTAAAAGACAATGATCATAAATTAACTATGGACTACTAGCAGTTACTGACATGCCAGGTCCAGACCTCGTGTATGTAACAACATATTTGATTTAAACGAAAGATATCTCTGTATAACTAAAACATTATTACACCAGGGTTTTCGATATTACAAACTTGTCAAAACTTTTACTAAATTTTATCATCGGTACAAGGACATCATTCTTAAATATAAATCAGCGTGCGGACATCTTATACTTAAAGATGGCATTTTTTTAAATTAACATTGATTCACTCATAGGATCTTTGAATCTGAAATAAACACCGTTATTCTAAAATCATTTGCTGGCATGATACGGGTTATGTTGTTCTCGTATAATTTGTGAAAACCATTTGATGGCATGATACGGGTTATGTTCTTCTCGTATAATTTGTGATGGTATGATGCAAACCCGTAACGGGAGGGATTGCGCTTGATTTTCATATGATGAGGACATAATCTTTCGATCAGTTTAATTGAGGTGTGGACCTGGCATGTCAGTAACTGTTAGTAGTCCCTTGTTAATTTATGTTGATCACTGTCATTTTGCTTAGTTTTTTGTGTTACCTAGTATAACATCGGACTTGTCAAGTCAGGAACCTCTAGCCGCTGTTAGTCTTGTGTGTGTGTGTTTTTTTTTTTTTTATTTTGGTTAATTAGTATGTTTCGGAGTTTGTGTGGCGTCCATTTCGCTGAGCTAGTATACATTATTGTTTAAGGGCCAGCTGAAGCTCGCCTCAGAGTGCGGGAATTTCTCGATGCGTTGAAGACCCATTGGTGGCCTTGGTCTGTTTGTAGCTCTTTGGTTGGGTTGTTGTCTCATTGACACATTCCCCGTTTCCATTCTCTATTCTAATCATTGAAGAAAGTACAAATCAAAATGTTTTCAAAATTCATAAGAACGAAGATCGGTAGATCTCCTGGCAGAGAATCCACATTTCGTACAATCGGTTTGCAAACGTGTCGGTAATGAAAGCATAAATTATATAGTTTTCATTGAACCTTCATGGAATTAATCAAATTTGTAATATTTTAATTGTATTGGATGTGCACAGTCAAAATAGACAAAACTTGCAAGAAATTACATATAGTAAGTCGTTCGTTTATTTTGTTCTGATTCTACGAAAACATAGTAGACCTAATCAGAGAGTAATTTCATGAAATTCCAAAACTTTGATTTTTTTAGATCTCGATATTCAAGACAAAAAGTACATTAAGGGCATACAATACAGTTTTGATCCCATAATGAAAATTTGATGAAAATTTGCAAATAGGCTATTTTTTACCTGATTAAATCAAATATGTAATAAAAAATATACCTTCATGTGCTACTTTTTGAGTAAAATGACTTCGAAATTTCAGATATTTGCTCAAAATTCGGATTGGTGGACGTATTTTTCCTTCCGACAGAAATGTACAACTTTTTTGTTTTAAAAGATAAACACAAGCTGTTTTTTTTAAATTATTTGTAATTTCTGTTTTATATAAGTATCTTATAAATTTATGAAATCTTTTGTTAAGAAATAACTCAAATTCATCAAATGTTCATGAATGTAGAAAAAAACGTCATTTTTGCTGTATATTTATCAAATTTAAAAAAATTGCATTATTGACTTTTTCATGAAAATTGGTACAAATAATCTTCATACGTAATCAAACCGAATGTCATTTTGAAAAAGAGGGGTCCATGAACTCGTTTTCAAGTTAAATCAGTTTGAATGATAAAAATCAGTCGAGAAATACAGCTTTTCCCGTTATGTCACAGTTTGACGTCGCCAAAATAACATTTTACGTTGGCAATGTCATAACCTCCCCTGTAACTATATCGTATGCCCTTAAAGTACGAACAGGAAACCAGAAAATTTCATAATAACGGTATAATACATAACTCAAACACAAGTAAAAATGCAAGCAAAAAGTAATGAAAAATACCATTTCAAAGACTGCTTACATGTCATATTAAAATAAAAACTAATCAAATATACTGTCGATACCTATATTTTGGCATTACACAAGTTCATGTTTTTTCTCGGACAGTTAATGATGTCTTTATACTAAATCCATTGGATGTTGGATGTCATGGTACTGATTGATATTTTAGTCTTAGATACATGATTTTTTTATTAGTTGTTATTTGCTTTGAACTAGCTGTAAGTACCTGCGAGTACTCTCAGTTCTGTACTTTGTGTCTTTTTTTGTTTTAAGGGACGTATAAATACCCTGCCACGTCCTGTCTGTGTTTTTGTTAGATGTTTTTTTCTGCTTTGTATCGATCTGATGAGTTAAGCCTTTTTCAACTAATTTTATAGTTTGCTCTTATGTTGTGCTGTTACACCACTGTCCCAGGTTAAAGGAGGGTTGGCGCCTTCAGACATGTTTAGCCTCGCCACATGCTAATGTGCCTGTCCCAAGTACGGAGCCTGTAGTTCAGTGAATGTCGTTGGTTCGTGTCTGTCATATTTGTTTTTCGTAAATTGTTTTGTTATAAATTAAGTCGTTAGATTTCTCAATTGATTTGTTTCCTATATTTCATGTCGGGGCCTTTTATAGCCGACTATTCGGTATGTGGGTTTTTCTCATTGTTGAAGGCCGTACGGTCGCCTATAATTACTTACATCCACTTCATCTGAACTTTGGTGGATAGTTGTCTCATTGGCAATCATACCACATCTCCTTATTTTCATAGGCTTATGAATTCGTACGCCAGACGCTCGTTTCATTTACAAAAAGCTCATCAATTAAGCTATTCCTGCTTCAAAGTTTAATTAAACGTACTGGTGTTCATTAGACATATAAATTATCAAAGAGGACCAGTATAATTGTTAAGTATTTAATCGATATTTACCCAAAAAAATAATCAAAAGGTATCTGATACATTGTATATAAGAACAAAAAATGAATTATTTCCTAACTGAACGGCTAACTGTGTAAAATTAATATTTTGGTACTCGGAGTAATATTGAGTGTCAACATTTTCTGGATCGTCGGCTCTAACTTCATGCATCTAACGTGCAGCCATCGGTGCATAGAAAAGAAAACTGAACAAAAAGTATAATTAACAACAAATTCTTACCTTGGTAGAAAGAGTTTCTGTCTGCGCCACTTAAAAACGGAAAACTGCGAACAGTTTGCACGGAAACAAGGTATTTCAGGATAACAGGCACCTATACTGTGAACATAAAAACATTACAAATTAAAACTGTGACCAAAAAAGCATGAAATAATTCGGAACAATTTTATGAGTCCTTTGACCTTAAAAATGTATTTAGATCAGAAAATTAGCGGTAAATTGAAAAGGCATGAAATATCATTGAAACGACAATTTTTATAAATTTACTGTTTATTAAACTTTAAATACGACGCGATTTGAAATACCGTAAGTTTTTTTTTTCTCTCGTGTATAGATTGGCACAACTTTCAAGTTTTTGTAAGGATCCCAAACAGGGGAAGAGTATTCGACGACTGGACGGACAAGTGGTGTGTACGCAAGGTTTTTAACCTAACGTGACTTGTGTAGTTTTTTAAATTTCTACGAAGAAAGCCTTAAGTTTTATTTGCCTTACATTTAATATTATTTATATGTGTTCCCCAGCCGAGATCGTGACTTATAGTTACACCTAAAAAGTTTACTGTCTATAACAGATTCTAATACATGATTATGCAAGGTATAATTAAAAGAAGAAGGGTTAAGTTTTTTTTAGATATATGTATGACATAACATTTTTTAGGATTTAAATTCTTCTGCCAGTCCCTTTCCCATTGCACTAAACTAGATAAATCATTTTGGAGTAATTGTGCATCATAATTATTGTTTACATTTCTATATAATAAGCAGTCATCTGCAAAAAAGTTACATTTTTCTGGTAAATCATTTCCCGGGGAAACCAGAATCAACAGCTAATTTAGAAGATTAAACGTCATTTAAAAGTACCTGCTTTCGCCTGTCAGCTAAAAATCTGTTATCCAATTTAAGTTCTGGTTCATAATACAATAAAAATCTCTGAGCTTTAAAAAATTTTGAGCTTATCTTTGATGTTGGACTTTATCAAACGCTTTAGAAAAATCTAAAAGTATAATATCTATTTGATTGTCATTTGCCAATGATTTTTCTAGATCTTGGATACTGATAAACCTTTTACTCCTAAACCCATGTTGACTGTTCGAGACATTAACTATGTTATTATTATACCCCACGCACCAATTTTGAGTAGGGTATAATGTTTTTGGCCAGTCCGTCCGTCAATCCGTCAATCCGTCAGTCCGTCAGTCAGTCCGTCAGACCGTCTGTCCGTCAGTCCTGTTCTTGTCATCGCAACTCCTCTGAAACCACACAACATAATTTCATTAAACTTTGTAGATAATAAGGACAT